CAAATCATGCCAAACAAATCTCATTTCTTTTTTCTTTTTTCTTTTGATAAAGTTATAAGATTGGTGTAATGGGGAATACTTTGGATGTAGTGAATCTTTATTTAAGTATTTTGAAAAGTCCCCTGTGATATTCTTGTGGAGAAACTGGTAAAATGTGGGCTGGACTAGGTAACTGTTAGGTGGATTTGTAACTGATCGAACCCAAAGAGTGCCCATAGATAAAGGACTTGGAGGAAGGAATTGAGGGGATGCACAGAGACACCAAACTGGGAGGCGTAGCCAGTGCCCCAGAAGAAAGTATGTGTAAAGCATTTGCTATGCTGAAGTTAAACTTTTTGAATTTGACTTCTAATACCTAACAAAACCAGGTAAAAAAACACCAAGTAATTAGTGACTTCAAGCAGTCAACTGGATTGTTTTCTTTCTGGGTTTCTTTTTTTAAAAAAATAAATATTTATTACTTTTCCAACAATTTAAACACAACACTAAAAAGAAAAAATAGAACAATACAATACAATACAATACAAAAACACTACATAACACTAACACATTAAACTAACAAAACCAAACAAAAACAGTTTAAAACACATCAAACAATTTCAATATCTTATCTTTCATTCACTTATTTCAACGACCTCCTCACACCTCCCTTTTTGTATTCCACTTCTGTTAATTGTTTCAGCAATTCCTTTCCATCTTCCTCTGTTTTCTATCCTATAATTATCTTAACACATTCTAACCTTATTTTTTCCTTTAATATTCTATTAATCTATTTATACTTAATTCCTTATAACATTTCTACTAAAGCCATATAACTTCATTCCAACATTTTTCTAACATTTATTAATTTTACAGTATTTCTGTAAATAGTCTTTAAACTTTTTCCAGTCTTCTTCCACCGACTCTTCTCCCTGGTCTCGGATTCTGCCAGTCATTTCCGCCAGTTCCATATAGTCCATCAACTTCATCTGCCATTCTTCCCGGGTGGGTAAATCTTGTGTCTTCCAATACTTCACGATGAGTATTCTTGCTGCTGTTGTTGCATACTGTTTTCTTTCTGGGTTTCATCAAAATTTAGAGAAAGAATAAACACTGTAATGCAAGGTTAGGAACTGTAATTTTGATTTTGATTTCTGACCTCCACAACAGGTAGACACTGGTGGTTTTTTCCCAGGGAAAAAAGAGAGTCGTTTTTATTAACCCTTTTTGCATGCATTCATGGCTACAACTATTCCCCAATTCTGTGTTCCAAGTGGTCATGACTTTTAAAAGGTCAGGGACATGTTGGAGGAGAGCATCTCTCCAGCTGCATAGGTCTGTGTACTTTGTATAAATTCAGCTCTTTATGTGCCTTGTATTTTTCCTTATTCTGTGGTTGCTGAATGTACTATTTCACCAATGTGTTTCATTTTGAAATATATTATTTCAGCACCTTGTGTGCCAGAACAAAAATTATATCCATAACGCCACCTCATAAATTTGTGAGCCTGCAGATGTTACTCAACCCATACGCTGCTTGTGAGACTTCAGACTGATTAGCAAAGCCCCTTTTCATCTTTAAAAGGCTATTAAAAGAGAGGGAGTCCTGGAATTACCATTTATGGTCCAGTAGCATTTTGTTTTTAAGTTGCCTAAGCTGAAGCCTTCCTTTGGTGAGCTGCAGCTTTGGAAGGAGTGTGTGTTTCCCAAATCCCTGTCGTATTTCAGTAGACTTAGTCAATACAGTAGTGATCATTATTAAATTATATTCACTATCTTGCAAGATATGCAACAGGGAAGCCTATTCTGCACTAGTGGTTTTCACATGTGAATCTGGGGGACTCCTGGAAGCTTGTCAGGGGGTCCTTCAAATGGAAAATCAGCTGTTGTGAGTAAAAAGTAAAGGTAAAGGACCCCTGGACGGTTAAGTCCAATCAAAGGCGACTATGGGGTTGTGGCGCTCATCTCGCTTTCAGGCCGAGGAAGCCGGTGTTTGTCCACAGACAGCTTTCCGGGTCACGTGGCCATCAGGACTAAACTGCTTCTGGTGCAACGGAACACCGTTTGCCTTCCCACCACAGCGGCATCTATTTATCTACTTGCACTGGCGTGCTTTCGAACTGCTAGGCGGGGAGAAGCTGGGACAGAGCAACGGAAGCTCACCCCGTCCCACAGATTCGAACTACTGACCTTCACTGGGAGGTTCCTTTGTTGTAGGGTACACTCACTGTTAACACAATGGGGTCCAATTGACCTGGCCAATGCCACGCATGAACTTTGCATCCTCCGGCCCGTACCCCAGTATCCTGGCCATTGCTGGGGGCTGGCATGGTCAGGCCCCCACACCATAGCAGGCGGAGGGGATGGCTGACAAGAGTACCTTGGGGCTGTTCCTTTTCTTCACGATCATAACCTTCTTGTTTGCCTGCCTCCTGTTCTACCCAATGAGTATGAACAACCAAACAACTGTGGGTGTGAGAGGGAGTGCCTGGCACTGCCTTCTTACTCACTGTCTCCCTCTGGGAAGCCAATGGTGAGGCAGAGGAGCAACAGAGCCAGCGAGTGGGTAGACTCACTGAGGGAGCCCACTGAGGGTGTCTTGCAAGGCTAGCCATCCAAAAAGAGGAAATGCATCACCCAAAAGGGACACATTGGCATTTGCATATGCTGATTTATAGGTATAGCTGTGAAACAATTACTCTAATTTAAATAGAAATAGAATGCCTCTCTCCATGCGGTAGTCTCGTAATCTGGGGAACCGGGTTCGCGTCTCCACTCCTCCACATGCTGCTGCTGGGTGACCTTGGGCTAGTCACACTTCTCTGAAGTCTCTCAGCCCCACTCACCTCACAGAGTGTTTGTTGTGGGGGAGGAAGGGAAAGGAGAATGTTAGCCGCTTTGAGACTCCTTAAAGGGAGTGAAAGGCGGGATATCAAATCCAAACTCTTCTTCTTCTTCTTCCATAGTGGAAAAGTCTGGCCAGGGGACTTGGGTGCCTTCACAGTCTGCTGTCCAAGTGTTGATGAGCAACTTCAAGGCCCCTCTAGCCCTCTCCTCTCATGGTTCTTGATCCCTAGACAGAAGAGGACTGAGCAGGCCTTCAGACAGAGGACTGTACTCCAAAATGCCCTTCAAACAGAGGACGGTCCTCTGTGAGATAGGACACACATCAGGGCTGGCCCAAGACATTTTGGCCCCTAAGGCGAACCACAAAATGGTGCTCCCTTTGAACCAGGGAAGTAGGGGTGGGAGAAGATCTGCAACAGGAACAGGGGCTGGGCAGAGAAAGATCTACATCAGGATCTGCTGCCCCTGTGAATCCTGCTGCCTGAGGTTGTAGCCTCAGCTGTCTCACAGGTGAGCCAGGCCTGACACGTGGCCAGGATATGTCCTGCCCAGATAGTAAGTTTTGGAAGCGAAACTACTGTTACACATTAGCATTCCCATTGCATGAGTTTTCCAAATTGTATACAGCTCTGTGTTCTTGACTTTGTGACCCGCTTCTCTTGAGGTACTCACTAATATTTCAAAGTGGTCTTGCTTGTTTCTGAAAAATTTGAGAGAAATTTTTCTGTATGCCACGGCTCGAACATTGATAGCAATGAACTGGAAAGGGGAAAATGTTCCAACCCTAACGGACTGGCAAAATAAATTACAGGAAAATGTAGAAATGGCACAACTGACTAATAGCCTGAGAGGCAACACAAGACAAGTATTCGTACAAAAATGGGTTAAATATAAGAAATATATTATAACAGTTGTATAACGTCTATGGCAGAATTTGATTGACCCTTATATAGTGAAACATATGAGAAATAAGTCAAAAGGTACCAAGTGTTATAAGAATGTATTAGAAGGAATATAAAGAATAACTCAGTAATGATAGGTATATTCATTATAGAATAAGGCTATACACTGGGAAATGATAGGAAGTCCAACTATACCTTTTTCTTTTTTTCTGGTTTTTTCTTTCTTTAATTCATATTAATAAATAGAGAAGACAACAAAAGATAGTAAAAATATGAATCAGTTTAATTTATGTACGTAAACAAAATACTACTTGTATATGGTTTTTGCTTACACGGATTATATATATGTTTACTCAAGAAGATGTACAATACATATGTATATGTATATGTTATACAAGATATGCTATATGAAATGTGTCATATGATATAAGAGATTGTTAATAAAGAAAAGAAAAAGAAAAAAGGGAAAGAAAAATAAGACTTTGTGACCCGCTTCTCTTGAGGTACTCACTAATATTTCAAAGTGGACTTGCTTGTTTGTTGCAAGGAGTTCTGGAAACCAGAACGAGGACTTGTGAATGTTTACATTCCCTGCTTTTTATAATATGCAAACTGACTGTGATTATATCAGCTAACTTATCCTTCTATCTATCCTGGTAGCCCAGTCTGGAGGAACTAAAAAAAAAAATATCAATGGAGAAAACATGGCTGTTTTCAGAGTCAGCTACAAAGACCATCACTGTCACTAGGAAGGCTCTCATCTTTCCTGCTTTTCTGTGATGCAAAATGTTTTCCATGGGGTGCAGGGCCATGCCAGCTGGTTACCATGGCAACACACCATAGTTCTTTGTTGAGTTCCACGTTCTAGAACACTGTTCGCCTTGTAATTCCTTAATCGCTACCTCCCAACCTAAAATCGGAAAAACACAGCTGGTTTCCTACAGCCACCCACGTGGGCTGACATTTATACCTGCAGGTTTTAATAGCAGACAGAGGAATTTCACTTTCCAGAGGCACAATATAACCAGGTGTGGGACGGGTTTCCTGTCTGTCTCCCCACGCTGACCTTCTTGGCAAGGCGTGAGAGGCTGCACAAGGGAGGAATCCAAGGCCGTGCTTCTGTTCACTTCTTTCATACTTGCTTTAAAGTCAGAATATGTTAGTTAATCTTTGATATGCAGCATGTAAAATATGTATATCAATGATGTGTGGCACATGGCATTGGGTCATTTCTGTGCCAAATGGCCTGTTTCTGCTTGGAAATGCCCCTGGGAAATGCCCCTCATCACTAGAAGAGATGGGGATGACTATGTAAACGACCATCCATCCTTCATCTTTTCCCTGTGCTTTCCCTTGGGGAAAACCGCTCTTTACTGCTCTATCGGAGCAAACAGCAATTGGGGCTTTCTCTGGTTTGATGTTTGCTCCTATTTGGCAGTCAGGAGCAGGCCTTCTCTGGGAAAGGAGCAGGGCAATATGAAGATTGCTCAGACCCATGTTTTCTAGGCATGGGACAAGTGGAACAATGGACTTTGGGCTTTCAAATGTCAGGGGTGCCCTCTGCAACGACAAAATTTGGCACCCTCTCGCCTTCCAGTCTAAGTTATTGTTGCAGCAGTCCCTGGAAAACCCTATCAACTTGATGCCCAGTGTGGGTGAACTGGTTGAGCTCCCCTAAACCCACCTCTGTTAACAGCTCCCTTTTGAGTTCAGGAACACACAACTCTGTTGCTGCCGACCCCTTTGTTCCTGCTCTAGAACTCCGTAGCTCACCTCCAGACCATTCTGGCCCTGCTGTGACCCCACTTTATAGACCAAGTGCTGATCATGGGCAGAGGGCGGGGGCCCAAGATGAACACCACCACCATTGGACTGGAGCCCCAGCAGCTGCCCCAAAGTAAGTAGGGTTTCTTCAGGCCATTTTGATTTTCAGCAGCAACAACATAAATTTGCAAAGGTTTGGTCTCATTCAGGTAAATTGGCCTCATTCTTTGACTGTAAAGTCCAAGAATCGAGTGGCTTGCCAATTAGCTGTCACTATTCATTATTATTAACACGGTGTTGCTGCGAGCCATATTTAGGGCACTGACTTTTTGAAGAGATTAAGATTACACCTAATAAACCACTTTTGACGACAGGAGAAAAATGTGCCAGGAGTGCATCAGCATCTGTCACAGACGCAGCTGCTCTGCCTTTGTGCAGCCACAGTGGCTTGTAAATCGCAACTCCCTGCTGTCAAGTGCGCTTGATTTGTGGGGCGTTTGCATTTTGCAAATCCCATCGCAGAGTGGAGCAGGACAGAAAAGGAGCAGAAACTGGTCTGGTTCAATGTCCACCCCCAGGAGCCCAGGGACACAACAGTGGCTCCATAATGGATGGCAACGTCTTAACACATGGTGAACTTACGGTCATTTGTTAGTTTCTGAGATTTCATTTAATGGAGCTGTGAATGTGGCAGATTCAGAGAGGGGTGTCAATATTTTTAAAGTTCTGTATTCCAATGCAGAGGATTGTGTTAAGTGGGGCACGTGGCCATTCTCCTTCCCTGTCCATGGACAAAGCCATGTGCCCCACAATACACTATTAAGTTTTGTTTATTAGCACATTATCTGATCCCTTCTTGAACATGACCTCAGTGTCTAGGAGTACCTTTTACCAGTTTCTGTTAGCAAGACAGCTACGGCCATTTTTGGCTCAAGATAGGCTGACTTCTGCTGTCAGTGCACTGGTGGCAATCTCTAAATTTCATTGCTACAATACGCCCTTTGTGGAGTTGCCATTGAGGCTCACCTGAAGCTGAAGCTACTGCTAAATGTGGAAGCCTGGCTGCTCCCTGAGGCAGAATATTGCTGTCATATACCGTATTTTTCGCTCCATAAGACACACTTTTTTCCTCCTAAAAAGTAAGAGGAAATGTCTGTGTGTCTTATGCAGAGAATACTGTGGGGAGGAGGGACGGATGGGCTCCCATCTGTCCCTCCTCCTCGGCTCGCTTTAAAACAGCAAAGTGGGACAGGGGCCACTTACACGGGTGTAAAGCAAGCACAGTGGGAGCAGTGTAATCCCTCCGCCCCCGCACTTGGCCGCCCCATTGGGATGGGAGGGTGCACGCATGCCACCCCCTTGGGACGATGCTCATGTGGGTGATGTCCCACATCCCCACAGGCGACGTGCCACCACGCAAGACCCTCCCTCCACCACTGGTCTTGCCGGGACAGTAGTGCTTTCCTTTGTAGAAGTGTGAAATTTGAAGGGCGGCTGTGGTTTCCTCCTTGTGTTGTGTACAAAGGTGTGACTTTAAATGACTTTAAATTGACTTTAAATGGGAATTGAATCAGATTTCTCCCTCATTCCTCCCTCATATGAAAGCCCCCAGAGCTCTCTGCAATGAACAAAAAGGAAGAAAGTCCAACTTCTTTTGGCTTTATTAAAATAATTGTGTAGCGCCAAACCATACAGTCCTTAGATCTAAGGGACTCAATGTGGGAAGCTCATATATTTCCATTGCCTGCCCCCCTTACTAGGGGATAAAGTCTCTCTTCATTTTACACTGTTCACTTTACATGGTTGAAATATTATGATATACTGGTAGTTTATTAAATAGTTTAGTACAGTGGTACCTCGGGTTATAGAAACTTCAGGTTACAGACACTTCAGGTTACAGACTCTGCTAACCCAGAAATAGTACCTCGGGTTAAGAACTTTGCTTCAGGTTGAGAACAGAAATCACACGGCAGCGGGAGGCCCCATTACTTAAGTGGTACCTCAGGTTAAGAACAGTTTCAGGTTAAGAACGGACCTCCGGAACGAATTAAGTTCTTAACCAGAGTTACCACTGTACAACATTTGATTCAGAATATATATTTTTTTCTTGTTTTCCTCCTCTAAAAACTAGGTGCGTCTTATGGAGCGAAAAGTACAGTTATATGATGCTACAGCTGAAAGATTTGCACTTGCTGCCAATGAGCTTCCAGGCTGGGTTCAAGGTGCAGGTATTGGTTTACAAAGCCCTGTAGAACTTGAGATCCTACATACATAGGTTCAGTGATTAAACTAAGCCATCTCCCTGGCCAGTGGGGATGAGGAGGTGTTAATGAATCAGGACCAATTTTGTAGCGTTTCAAGAAAACTCGAGGCCTCAGCAATGAAACACAACCCCAAGCACCTGCCATTTTGAATCAAAGTTCTGATCATAAATAATTTCAAGAAAGGATATATAAAAACAAAATGTTTGTTTCTCATATGAAAGATGAGTGGGGGAAATTGCTAAGTAGAAAACTCTGTTGGGGCCGCACGATACTTCGGTTCCAAGATATGTTTTAGGCAATGACTTTTCTCTTGAATTTTTCAATATATTGAGGTGCTCTTGGGAACAAGTAGTATCATTTTAGACATTCTTTCATGTCCTGTTAAATTGGCAGGGCTGGAGTATCCATCGCAGCTGCAAATAAAAGAAGTCAACTTTGTGCCCCCACCTTACAGGTAAGGACTTGAATAAAAATTGCATAGGTTTTACTTGTTTGGGGAATATATTTTCCTAGCAATTCCCATGAAGGCAACATTTATGCAAGCAGGATATCAGAAGGAGACTGCTGGTCCCTCTGGGTGTCGTCGGTTTGGATTCTCAAATGCTTGCAAGTTATGGTAACATTTTAATTAGTATTTTAGAGTTACCATTTTCCACTTGGCAAAAGGACTACAGTAGGCCTTTCATATATCCTACTCATTATGTCTTATTAGAACCAGGCAAGTCAGCATAAATCTTGCTTCCCCCAGGATGAATAGGTATCCCCATTGGCTAATAGCTACCGACCAAGGAAATTCTCTTTTATTATATTTGTATGCCTGACATATTTTTGTAGTATGTTAATAAGCATACATAAATGCCTGAATAAATGCACCGTGGAGAATACAGGATATTCTTTCCTCTTTACGGCTTGGATGAATGAAAGCCCATCTCTGCTGTCACCTCTGCTGCTTGGGAAGTGACGCAGTCTTCCTGTGATACCAAAAAGGGCTGGGAAGCCTAAGGTCGCCTGGGAGAGGCCACTGACCATGTTCTAAGCTCCTGGGAAGCCAGGGCTGGCAGAGGAAGTAGCCATAAAAGGGCCCATAATGCACACCAGCTCCAGCCTTTCAACCTTATCTCAGTGGAACTGGAAGGAGCCATCTTTGTAATAATAATAATAATAATAATAATAATAATAATAATAATAATATCTTTATTGTCATTGCCCCCTTCAGGGACAACGAAATTACTTGACTGCTCCATAAAAACACTAATTAAACAATACAGTATAATACAGCAAGGGAGATTAGATGACTTTCAAAGTCTGGGCTTCCCATTCAGGGCCGAGATCGCTCTGGAGAAGAAGCTGTTCTTAAGACGGCTCGTTCTTGTCTTCATCGTCCTGTATCTCCGTCCCGACGGCAAAAGCTCGAAGAGACAGTGACCAGGATGCGATGGATCTTTTACTATGTCCAGTGCCTTCCTATGGCACCTTGTGGCATAAATCTGCTCTAAGGTGGAGAGTGGGCAGCCAACAATGCTCTCTGCTGCCTTAACAACCCTGCACAACCCCATCCTGTCCTGGGTAGTACAGCTTCTATACCACACACATGATCTATACACTGCTAAGGTACAGAGGTGCATTGCTCTGGCACCTGGAGCGATGCACACGCTGTGCACCTGGTGGCAGGGCGAGCGTCCCACGGGGGTGGGGCAGCGAGCACGGGGGCAGCGCCGCACGCAGCAAGCATCCCAGGGAGGCGGTACAGCAATGTCATCCCCCCTCAGGGATGACACCCAGGCCGAATCACACACCCCAACCCCTTCCTCCGCCAGTGCTAAGGTAGCAACATTATTTACCCTCAGCAGTTCATAAATGCATTGTGTAAAGAGGATAAAAACTATTTAGGGAGAAAGGCGAGGTGAACATAATTCCTTTTAGTACTGTATTTCCAAAGCAGGAACCCAGCCCAGGGTATCAACTGGATGACAGAGAGCAAAGTTTGTGAGAGGATTGCCATGATATGGAGACAGCCGAGGCGCTGTTCAAATTATTTGAATCTGGAGCAGTTACTGGATAGATATTATTATTATTATTATTATTATTATTATTATTATTATATCTTAATCTAGAACCATTTTTTTTTTTTTGTATTTTCCCAGAAAGAACTGAGCCAAACGCTGGTGACAAAAGATGATCTGATAAATTAAAAACAAACAACTCACCCAATAAGCAAGGCCTCCGTGCTGTGGACTTTCTAGTTGGCTGAGCACTATTAGAAATGAGATGCTGGACTAGACAGGACATTTGTCTAATTGTGTCAATTTCCAAGTATAACTGCGCTCTATGAGCTTTATCTGATCTGTGGTCCCAAAGAAGGTGTAATAGTAACTCATTTTAAAAAGAACACCTTCCATCCAAAAGGCCGCCAATCAAATATTTTGAGAAAATAAACCTATAATTGCTTCATTGTAACAGGCCAGGCCCTGGACAAAAAGAGAGACTGGTTTATAAAGTGTATTGGACTTGTCGAAGAAAACACTCATCAAACTCCCATAACTCTCTTTCCATCTGCATTCCTTTCCCTTTTCATCAGTAAACCTAAGTGTGGAATAACAATTAGTATTTGCGTACTTATCGAACTCTTATAACAACTTTTCTGTTGCAGCTGTTAATTAAAAAAAAATAGGATTTCAACATACCATAATGTGATAACTACTTTGAACATGAAGATAGATGGTATTTCTACTGAAGCCACCATTCTCTTTGAAGTTCATATATCAGCCCAACACCTTTATACATTTTCAAGGTCAGGAGGAAAAATGGAAAGTAGATTTTAATGGCATATCTGTCTTTAAAACTAGGAAATTGGAATGCAAAGGGGCATATAACCTCAGGGAGTGGTGTGCACTTGAATTTAATGTTTCAAATCTGAACATCACCTTAACTGGGCAGCCATTTTCACAGGGAAGTTGGGGGAAGAAATAGCCAAACATATTTTTATGTGAGATATGCCTTGATGTCTAAGATGCCATAATGAAATTTGGTGTGTACATTCAGGATACTATTTAACATTTCAGGTTTAACTCTGGCACCCATTTTCACAGTAGGAAAGAAAAAATGCAAATACATGGGATCTTAAGACCTTTAAATCACCAGTTTTTACTGGTATTTTTAGCCTGTGGTTGAAACATGTAATATCCTCCTAAGACTTTGACCAGAATAAGATAAAAAATCCAAATTGATCAAAATAATGTTCAGGAGACATGACTCACACATGACTTTGATGCACTCAGTTTTTTGTGCGCTATTTTGCATGGCATGGTTCCATTGCAATTACTTTTCAAAAATATGTAAGCCTCAACTGCCTTCTCCAATTGTTGTGGAAGGTCCTTTGATCCTTCTAGGCAAAGAAGTCTGGAAAGTCTTTTTTTTTTCTCAGTCGGAGATGGAGATGATGTAAACATGCATGACTTGGCAATATCACGTGGCCCTTATTTTTCATAATTATAAGAGGCAGTGGGAGTTGGATCTGGCACAGTAAACTAATCAATCTAGCATGGAATATGGCCTCACCTCAGCATTTGTAATGATCTGTGTTTTTAACTCTTTGCATAATAATTAAACACTCGTGTGAATTTGCACTTTTGAATAAATTCCATCAACTACACTGATTATTCCCATTCCTTCCATAATGCAGCAAACCATCAAACCACAAAGCACCCTCAATGCAAACCTGGGATTCACTTTTATACGAATGTATGTGACCATCAACACAAATAAGATAAATTGTGTCCTCCCTAAAAGAGGGCATGTGTTGTGGTGAGACCTGGAGACTGACCTCCTCGTTGTGGATGGGTCTCTTGGATAAGCCACATCGCCCGATTGGTGGGTCCTCGTTGCTGGGTGTAATCTGGCCAGTGGGGTGCACTCTAAACAGTTCGAGGGACCTATTTAATCCCTTGCACGTGACCCAGAGATTCTCTTTCGGCTCGTGCAAATGGAACACCCGCCCACCTCTCCCTATATTTATGATATTTTGCAGTTGACCTTGCTATGCCGTCGTGTGTCGTCTGTCGTTGGGACAGGGGCACAGCAGGAATTTTCCCACTTGGCTGATTGGCTGTTGCCACTTGGGTTTCACCTGCCACATAGCAAATCATCACAACTTGTAAGGTTGCGGATAGGCACTGGTTCAGGTGATAGGGATGGGAGAACGCTCTTGCCATCCCTATGTGAAGGGTATTCTGTTACAGGAATCCAGGGACTCAACTTGGTTTGGTCAACCCCCGAGAGGGGCTTGTGCCCGTGCCTGAGTCCAGGGGAGCATCGGGGGGAGTGAACAGAGTCTGTTCCCGGGCTTTTCACCTACCTCAGGTATTCACCCTTGGCTGACCTATGATAGAGCTCTGGGTTAGCGCTACCTGCAAGGGTGTATGGAGCTAGTCTAACCAGAGCCTATGCAACCACTCGCTTTTCTGTAATCAATAAAGTTGTGGCCTAAATTCTGCCAAAAACCAAAACTAAAATTTGAGTCAAATGTGTATTTAGGAACCCAATACTAAGAACTTGTCAAGAATGTATAATTTGCTGCTGAAATGGAATACACAAGATGAAATAGTTAAATCAGCTATGATTAAGTGGGCACAGGACATTGGTCATAACATTATGTTTGCTGACTGGGAATGGTTGTGGAACACCGGTATAAAATTTACGGCATGTAATGCCATAAAGGAAAATATTATGAAAATGATCTATAGGTGGTACATGACTCCAGTCAAGCTAGCAAAAATTTATCATTTGCCTGATAATAAGTGTTGGAAGTGTAAAGAAACTGAAGGTACTTTTATCACCTTTGGTGGACGTGCCCAAAGATTAAGGCTTTCTGGGAAATGATATATAATGAATTAAAAAAGGTACTTAAATGTACTTTTCTGAAGAAACCAGAGGCCTTTCTCTTGGGCATTGCCGGCCAATTGGTATCAAAGAAAGACAGAACTTTTTTTATGTATGCTACGACAGCAGCAAGAATACTTATCGCAAAGTATTGGAAGACAGAAGAACTACCCACCTTGGAAGAGTGGTTTTCTCAAGGATTATTCCTAAGGCTGTTCCTAAGCTGTGGGGTTGGTGTTGGGAAGAGAGCCCGGCAGATGTGCTCCACCACCTGCCCCACCAGCATTGTTTCTGAAAGCTTTATAAAACTCTCAGAGGATAAACCCAGGACCAGGAGGAAGGGACGCTGGATGAAGATTGGATTGCCTACTTTTTTATTTTTATTATTAGGACTGTTTCATAAAATTGATGAAAGTTAGGAAAATGTTGAAATGAAATTATTTGGCTCTTATAAAAATGTCTAAAGAATTAGGTAAGAATGTTATGGTTAGGAGAAGTTGGTAAAAATTAAGAATTAAGTTCTAAACTTTAAGGTTTTTTCTTCTTCTTTTTATATATAATATATAAGATAAGATGAAAATAGATTAAGGTAATGTGATGACAGAATATTATGAATTAGGGAAAGGATTTGAAAGAGGGGAGGGATTTGCTGAAATAATAATTTGAACTGGAATACAGAGAAGGAAGGCGTGAGGAGGTCCGGGAAATAAGTAAATGAAAAATATGTGATGACTGAATTGTTTTTTAACTATTTTTATTTTATTCTTTTTGTATCTTTTTTTTTTTGTATTCTTCTTATTTCTTTTCTATTTTGTAACTTCTTGAAAATCTTAATAAATATCTTATAAAAAAATATATAAAACTCTCAGAGGATAAAACCACTCTTTAAAATAATAATAATAACAACAACAATAACAACAACAATACTTCACTGGTAACAATTTTATTTTCAACTTAATTGGACCACAGCATATCCTGAATTTTATGTAAATTCAAAGTATTGCCTTTCATATTGAGTTGACGATAGAGAGGAACTCTTTTCAGAGTTTTCTTAATTCTTCAGTCTTAAAAATCACAGGAGAAGCCGGGCGCAATCCAACAGAAAGCAGTTGGTGCTAGGTTCCATTGAAGCTGCAAGTGATCTTGGCTGGATCCAGGTTTGAAGGGGCCCCCTCGTAGGTCAGTGATGGCAGCAGTGAACACCTGTAAGTTAGAAAGTTGAAATTCCCATGCTTCCCTAGAAAGCCTGACATAACATTGCTCCAGAGTAATGTAAAAGGGCAGCCGGTGGGTCCTGCTAGTCAGGGCAGCCCATTTCATTTTGCAGCCTGAAGCAAAACAAGAACGTGTTGCCATCCCCACCCTGGCTGAAGCCTTACTTACAAGCTGCAGCTTCCGGTGAGGTCTGCAAGATCTCACTGCCACTTCTTCTTGCTTCTCCAGCACCGGTGACAGGCAGGCAGAACAACCACCCAAGCATGGCCAACGTGAGGAGAAGTAGCAGCACTGATGAGGTGTCACAAGAGTTCTGTGAGAAAAAGCCACATCTCCTCATTTTTCAGAGGCAATGGCAGGGACAGGCGGGGCTGGAGATTCCACCGCTCAACGTGGCTGCCTCCGTCAGCCTCATGGTTCCTGCTGTGGGTTCCAGGCAGAGATCCAAGGTTGCCAGCGGTGATGCTGGCCCTGAATGGGATAGGATTTTGTCATGGCTAAGTAAATTCCACTGACTTCAACTGGATTTAGTTATCCCTAACTATTCTTAAGGAAATCAGCCCTGAGTGCTCACTGGAAGGACAGATCCTGAAGCTGAGACTCCAATATTTTGGCCACTTCATGAGAAGAGAAGACTCCCTGGAAAAGACCCTGATGTTGGGAAAGATGGAGGGCACAAGGAGAAGGGGACAACAGAGGATGAGATGGTTGGATAGTGTTCTCAAAGCTACCAGCATGAGTTTGACCAAACTGCGGGAGGCAGTGGAAGACAGGAGTGCCTGGCGTGCTCTGGTCCATGGGGTCACGAAGAGTCGGACACGACTAAACGACTAAACAATAACAACAACTACCACTGGCTTTTTCTTCCAAGCAAAAGTGAAAAGGTCAGATGGATGCCATAACATGGAAGCACGATTTCTTCGAGTGTGGTTTTGGGAAATGTTTGATAGGTGGCAGAGCAAATCTGCTCTGTGCAACATTCACTGTTGCTTTAACACTATCAAATAAAGATTATATTATAAATTACATTAATATAGAAAGTAATGTGGCAAGTGAGAGGAGGCTGAGTCTGAACCATGGCTTGGTGAGAGCACCAGCCCTGCAGCCACTCAGGGAGAGCTTTCAGGTAGTTTTGTGTAGCCTGGGCCTTTACAACTTTTGACTCATCAAGCCAAGTTTAGCCTACCAGCAACATAAGGTGGGGCTTGATATGTTCCCTGTTCTTTGCTGTTGTCCTGGGACTGGGAAAACAGGGTTATCAAGCAGCACATAAGATGTAATATAGGATTGATGTGGACTGTAGTCAGTTTGATTGTTCACCAGCTTCAGAGATCTTCTTTAAGGTATATGGTGCACAGCTTCTAGAACTAACTGAATGCCTACATGACTACCTCTCTTACATCCTTCAAATCTCATTTTTCCAGGAATTCTTTGGATTGTAAGCTCCCTGGGGCAGAGACCCTCTCTCTTGTCCTCCAGGAGACACTACGGTATATTGCTGTTGTGCATATGCTACTACTGAGAACAACAGACACCTCAATTCTAAGCAGGTTAGGCACGAAGTGAGGCTCACAGATCTTAGGCGGAGATCACTTCTAAGTCGGTGGCATTAGGATTGAAATGCTGCCTTTGCTTCTGTGAACTTTGTTATTGCCATGCCTTTTTATTTTGGCTTCTTCTGCACATGCATAGCAAAGGAAATTTCTTTAAAACCACAATGACAAAAAGAAAGCAGCTTCACCATCTGCCCCTGTATTTACTGACAGGTGCTAATTGGCATAAACAAAGGGATTCCATAATCAACATTTTGCTCCATTGAGCCAGGCTCTGTATTCAACTGCAAAATGAAAGTTCTTTGAACTTCACCAGTTGATTGAGAACTGGAGTTTGGCAGGATATCAAATGCTTAGCTTTGTATCAAGGCTTAAAAGTGAAACTACTTGTTAACTGTCGGGGCTGGGAAGGGGTGTAACAGCTTGGCATTATAATAAGCTTTGATTGGAAGTGAAAAGATTTTTAGTAGTGGTACGTATTTCAAGCACTTATTTTTTTCTTTTAGCATTTACCGGGCAATGCATCATAAAGGACAGAAAATCCAGAAAATGTGAATTTATTCAGACACAGGCTGAGCTGTTTTTAACGGCTCTCCTCTACCCTCTGACAAGAAGGTTAATTTTACAGGATGGAAGTTCCTATGGTGTCATGAGCCATAATGCTTCTGGCTCAATCCTGCCCACTTTTATTTGGAAATAAGTCCCACTTACAGTCCAGTTTCTTTTGTCTACTCAGATTGATATCCTAGGCTTAGCGCACCTGCATTTTCAGCAAATCCCCCACGGCGGGGTGCGCTCCCGTCGTTCGGTCCTAGCGCCCGCCCACCTAGCAGTTCGAAAGCACCCCTAAGTGCAAGTAGATAAATAGGTACCGCTTTATAGCGGGAAGGTAAACGGCGTTTCCGTGTGCTGCGCTGGTGCTGGCTCGCCAGAGCAGCTTCGTCACGCTGGCCACGTGACCCGGAAGTGTCTGCGGACAGCGCTGGCTCCCGGCCTCTTAAGTGAGATGAGCGCACAACCCTAGAGTCGGACACGACTGGCCCGTACGGGCAGGGGTACCTTTACCTTTACCTTATTTTCAGCAAAACATTTGACAAAGTCTCCAATGATATCATTTCTTTTTTGGAGGGGTCCACTGTATTAATTTTTTAAACTACAAACAACATCAAACATGCTGATAGAAAAGTGGGAAAGGAAAACTAGAGGGAGGGGGAGAAAAGGGAAAATAATACCATACATTAATTTGTGTGATATATCTTTTGTAATCATAATCACAATTCATCAAGAAATCACTTTATCCTAACCTTCTATACTATATCCTCTACACAAACTTAAACGGATCATTGGGGTCCTATGTTCCGTCGTATTAATGTATATCAAAACCTCAGACCAAATAGCCCTAATTACTCCCCTAGTTACTTTTCTTTAATATGTGAGGCGCTCAAAAAGACCTATATCCCAGACTCTATGAAACCAATAATCAATCAAGGGAGGTGAGCAAGATTTCCATTGACTGGCTATTGGCATTCTTGCTACTGCTATTAATAGAAAGACCAGCATCTTATACTCTGGCATTTCTATTGCTTTCTATTGAAAGCAAGGCCAAGACTGGATGTGCTGTTAGTGATTGATCTATGATTTGAGAGATAATGACAAAAACCTTTATCCAAAAACTATATAAAGCTTCACATTTCCACCACATATACATATAATGTCCAATAGTATTACAGCCTTGACAGCAAAGTGGAGAGAGATTTGTATTGATTTTGGAAAAGTGCACCAAATACCACCTAAGTATCATTTTTAGAGCTGATTCTTAAATCCTAGGAGATAATAGTTTTAATGGAGAATTTACCCAAATGAGATCCCATTTATGTCAATAAATCTGACATTTAAGGTCACCGTCCCAGGATGTCCTAAAACCCTGGGAGGAGGCTATTTGATACCAAGCTTTTAGAATCCAGAGATATTTGAGCAATTAAGGGTTCAAAAGTAGTTAGAGAACCTAAACCCCATACAAGCTAGAGATTTAGCAAATGTAGTAATTTGGATTTATTGAATCCATGTATGTGGTATATTTCCATTTTTTCCCTTTAGGGAAATGGGACATCCTTGTTGATAAGCTGGGCTGCATGATATTGCTGTTCATAGCTGGTTGAACAATGTTACCCAAGTAGTGTAGAATCATAGAATTGTAGAGTTGGAAGAGACAACAAGGGTCATCTGGTCCAAACCCCTTGCAAGGGAGGAGCCCAGTGTGGGGCTCAAACCCTCGACCCTGAGTTTAAGAGTCTCATGCTCTACTGACTAGGGCTGTGCTCCAGTTTTGGCTGAGGCCTGAGCAAAGTCAGGCATGTTCAGAGGGGCTGATGGTTTGGATGAATCACATCCACACAGCCATGGATCGCTGTGAGTTTAGTTGGATTGGCCTAGAGCAGGGGTGGCCAAGAGACTGTGATCTACTTACAGAATTAGGGTCAAAGTTGTGTTGTTGAGCTTTTTTTAGGGAGGAGGAAAGTGGGGCGAGGGGGCAGATTCTATTTTACCCACGCTAAGAAAAGGGACCCAGCGATTGACCGCAATCTGCAAAAACCTCCCGGGGATCTACCAGTAGATCGCAGTCGACCTGTTGAACATCCCTGGCCTAGAGCAATCCATGGCTGCTAGGAGGTAGGACTTCAGGTAGGATGGAGAGGAAGGCAGGCAGGAAAACCACACAAAAATGCACACGAACACAAAGGGAACCGGATTTGCTGATATGTGATTGAATCCCACCTGAATGTAGCAAAAGTCTGAAGGAAACTAAGGTTTCTTGGCCAACCTGCAAACATTACAGTTAAGCTGCACCTCCTGTCAGCTGTATAGCATTGGCTGGCTAGAGGCAGATGGAAGTCTTTTGTTGAAGGCAATCTGATGAAGGCAATATTGCCTGTGGTTCTGCACATTAAACCTACTGTCAGCTCTGGTAAATGTGTTTTGCTTTCAATTAAGACAACAATGGAAGAAAAGAAATGAGCCCCGGTCAATAAGAGGCAGTGGTCCCTTTATCATTTCCATACTGAAGTCTCTCAAAAACTGCTGCTTATTTCCACACAATGTTTAGAGCCATTTCAGACTCTCACAGACTCCAGGGGCTTCTCTCCTTTAAGGAATGGAAGAAGACCAGATTGTAAGGTGATAGACGACTAACCCAGAAAATTATTGTCTTAATCCATAGCCTGCAGATAATAATTGGAAACTTAGAGTATGGCAAACTGACTGGATATCCTGGAGGCAAAATATGGAAATCATTATTGTCAAACCCCAAACATGATACATTTTGTGTGTGTTTTTGTTTAAAATTTATGAAAATTGGTGTTGTGTTGCAAACCAAAAATGACAGAGTAGAATCTTAAGATTCATATCTGAAATTACTGACTTTGTCTTTCTCAACTGCATAGGACACCATCTGTTGTTTCTTCTCTGAATATTCTCCTATCATTTTTTCCTCCTCTTGCATGAATATCAAAAATCAATTCCATTGTTGGATGGTGATGGAGAGACGCATTTAATCAAATGGCTTTTAAGGTAGGAACAATGGAGGGGCACTGAAAAACAGGAATCAATTGCTAAAAATAGAGAAAGAGTTAAGATTATGTAAAAAATAAACAAATGGAACACTTTCTTGCCTGCAATAATAACAGTATTCCTTCTCCTGACTGAAGGCATAGTTTTTCTAATAGATTTATAGAAGAGTAAATGAATAGGCTCTTCATATTTGTCATTTATAGGTTCTGGCCTTTTCTTCTCATTTTAGCCTCCTTTCATTTTAGAACATTTTCTCCTGATCCCAATGAACATCTTGACTGTTTGTACTGAATTCTATGGATGCAGATGAAAAGAACCAGCTGCTATAATTAATGTTCTTGTCCCTATTGTTTGCTTTTCTACTGTAGTTTCAGACTGGAGGTGAGAGGCCTTTG